TACAGGCATGAGCCACTATGTCTGGCCAAGACCACATATACAATTCTACTTATTTGATTTTTTTTTTTTTTTTTTAAAGACAGAGTCTCACTCTGTTGCCCAGGCTGGAGTGCAGTGGTGCGATCTCAGCTTACTACAACCTCTGCCCCGCAGGCTCAAGCAATTCTCCCACCTCAGCCTCCCAAGTAATTGGGACCACAGACACATGCTACCACGCGTGGCTAAGTTTTTTATATTTTTGGTAGAGATGGGGTTTCACCATGTCGCCTAGGCTGGTCTGGAACTCCTGAGCTCAAGCAATTCTCCCCACTTGGCTTCCCCAAGTGCTGGGATTACAGGTGTGAGCCACTGTGCCTGGTCTCAATTCTACTTATTTGAAATGCCCAGTGGATAAAGCTATAGAGACAGAAAGTAGATTAGGGGTTGCCCAGGGTTGGGGAAGATGGCAGAGTGGGGACCGAAGAGTAATGGCTAAGGGGTATAGGATTTCTTTTTAGGGTAATGAAAACATTCTAAAATAGACCATGGTAATGGATGCACAACTCTGGAAATACATTAAAAGCCATTGAATTTTACACTTTAAATGGGTGAAGTGTATGGTATGTGAATTGTATCCCAAAAAGCTGTTAAAAAGAAATATTTGATGAATAAACAAATGAACAAATAAATATAGGATATAGTTGTTGACTCTTGTTCTTAGAGTTACTTAGAATCATGGACTATTAGAATCATGTAAAATGCCAGACAAGGAACATTCACTCACACATTCACTCATATACTGATTCATTCAGCAGGCATTTATGGAGTGTCTGGCATATATCTAGGTACTATGCTAAGTGATAGTGATTAAGCAGCAAACAAGATTACTATGGATCCTACTTGCCTCTTGGGACATACACACTCACACTTATGGTTCCTTTTCTTTATTTAGAAATTCTCTAACTATTGTCATACCTTCATTCTTAACTTCAGTATTTTTTATTTTTATTATTTTTTTAAGACAGAGTCTCACTGTGTCACCCAGGCTGAAGTGCTCTGTGGCCCAGGCTGGAGTGCAGTGGAGCAATCTCAGCTCACTGCAAGCTCCGCCTCCCAGGTTCACGCTATTCTCCTGCCTCAGCCTCCCGAGTAGCTGGGACTACAGGCACCCACCACCACGCCCGGCTAATTTTTCTTTCTTTTTTTTTTTTTTTTTTAAGTAGAGACGACGGTTTCGCCATGTTAGCCAGGGATGATCTCAATCTACCTCGTGCTTCCATCTGTTCTCAGCCTCCCAAAGTGCTGGGGTATTACAGGTGGAGCCCAACCATGCCCGGCCTTAAGTTCCAGCTCTTGAATGATCTCGAGTTTATCCCCCCAGATGTTTGGGGCTGAATCTTCCTTAAAACGATCTGAGCCCAGGCTGGACTTGCGGTGGCTCATGCCTGATCCCAGC